AAGATATATAACTGATATTAATTATAGAACCATGAAAAGATATAATAATCAGATTTATAATTAATCAATCGTGTGTCAGTGGTAGTCCTTGGTAATATAGAACATGAAACACCTATCATCCATCATTCCTACCTACCTTTACTAATTTATTGGTAATCTAAGGTATTTATTAAATATTTCTAAAGACTTTTTAATATTTTAAATATGTTGTGAGTATAATTTAGATTTTTTAAAACTTTTTAAAAAGTTGGGGTACTTATTTGAGATTTTAAAAAGTCTTGTAAAATTGTGAGATATTTAACTTATTTGAAATTAAGATTTGTTAATGCTTTTTAAGATTTGTTGGAATTTCTAAAAAAAAAAAAAATCGTACTCAAAATTTTACCTCCATATTTAAAGTTTCACAAATTTCTCTAAAATCTGGAAATCTTAAAAAATCTCAAATCTGAAAAAATGTCCAAATGTCACTCGAAATTCCAAAATGAATTAATTTCTTTATTAATAAATCATATCACGAGACTTAAAATTTAACATTATCTAAAAATCTTAAAAATCTCAAATCTGAAAAAGTCTCCAAATGTCATTCCAAATTTATTATACTCTAGATTTAATTTCTGTATTAATAAATGATGTTAAAGATGAATTAAATTAAACATACCATCATGTCATGGCCCCTATTGATTAGAGTAGCATTAGAGGGATTGTAACCTCTCTTTAGTCTGCCCAAATTCGAAACTATTTCAACCCTCTCACTCAATAGATCAATGGGAGACTGCATTTGGCCTGAATTACACTCACTCCATTCCGGACGGATATGTCCCCAGTGTGCCGGACCATTAGGGTTATTTTCGTCATAACTAAATTCCCTCTCATCATCTGCAACCATTTCAAATAAAAAGGAAAACACATATAATCATCATATTAAAATACAAAGTACTTGTTCCTCTCTAAAAATATCGTCCTAACACCAAATTTCATGTTTAAAAGGTGATATGATTTTCTTCCACTATTTTTTCTTAGAAAAAAAATATGAATTTCCACATTGAATCATATGGATTTGTCTCCACTCCACAAAGAATATAAATAAAATAAAATAAATGGCAACAATATTAATAATATAATATGCTTTTTACTTACCAACTTCTTGAGCTTTTGTGAGACATGTGAACGAGAGCAGGAGAAGAAGAATAATGAAAGAGCTTCCAGAAGAAGTTGTAAATTTCATGGTTTTTGGCTTCTGTAGATTTTTGATTTTTTATGATGAAATTGCAAAATTTAATATTGGAGTTGGTATGAAGAAGGATGGGTATAGCGAAGTTGGCTTATATAGAGGCAGGCAGCAACAGTTATGATTTACTTAATGGAATGTGAACGCGTCAATAGGTGGAAAGTTGATTCTGATTGGACTTTGGTGCAAGAAATGTCTAGGACTATGAGGTATCTCAATTCAAATTATAATTCCATTTGGAGCCATGGCCCCACAAAATAAAAATTTGGCCCTAAAAGAAAAATGGCTCACATAGATTTTTTTTTTTGGGGTTGGATTTAAGAGAAATGGCCCTAAGAGAAATGTCTAGCCCTAAAAATTTTTGGTACCCTAATTTGTTATTTATAAGATTATTTAAATTTATTTATTTTAGTTCGAAAGGAAGTAATAAAGTACAGAGCCCGTGCGATGCACGGGGCGCAAAATTTTAAAGCCATTTATCCAGACTTATAATATATACATAAATACAGAAAAATGTACAGGATATATATAGTACGCGACCCATGCGAGGCTGATTGGGGCTTTTTTTTTCGTAGGATGTTGAAAGTGACGACGACGCTGCTCAATATTTTGAGATTTAAAATGTATAATTGCTAGAGTAGATACAATAGTTGTTAATATTTTTACGATAAAATCTCAATTTACAAAAATCGAATTGCATCTAATAATCTTAACCAATAAAAGGAATAAGAAGGAATTTAAAATAAGAAGGAATCGGATTGCACCTATTATTTGTTTCAAGATAAGAAGGAAAAAAATCAGAACAAAATTTCCAGTAGTATTTACGGAAATCGGATTACATATAGAGCGACAAATCAGAACAAAATTTCCATACATAAATAATAAGATTTTTGGTAAAAGGATAAGAATGAAATTTCAATCTACAAAAACTTTAAACTGATTTTATGGGATTTTTTTGACTAAACGGATTGTATGGGATAAAACAAATAGAAGATAAGAAGGAAATTTCAATTTAAAAAAACATTAAACCGATTATATGGGATTTTTTCGCAGGAAACCGAATGTATGGGATAAAACAAACAAATAAAATACTTGCTGGAAATAGTAATGACATTAATTACATTTGACTTTTCTGACTATTATTTTTAGTAAATAGAATCCTTTGTTATATAAGTACTAGTACAGAGCCCGTGCGATGTACGGGGTGCACAATTTTAAGGCTATTTATCCAGGCTTATAATTATATACATGAATAAAGAAAAATGTACGGGATATATATAGTACGTGACCCGTGCGAAGCACGAGATATATTTATTTGGAAAATATTATATTATAAGATGCAATATTCAATAAAAGTTTATAATACGCAAGAAACTGTACAATGTTCAATAAAAGTTTTATAATATTCAAGTGGAGTCTTAAAGTCTCTTGTACATTAAGACTACTGACAAAATAATATTTTAATCAATGAGTTTCTTTTCCTTGTAGCCAAATTGTGAATGTGATTTGAGGAGTACAACAAATCGATATATAGCTGACTTGCTTTTTTCATTGTAGTTTTTTTTTTTTATAATGAATTTAAAGATATTCTAAAATATAGCAAAAATTAATTTTTTTATTACAATTAGGAATTTTACTAAATATAAACTCTCAATCTATGGTGTTAATCAACGTTTAAGTCTAAAAAATTAGGAATTTTTACCTCTTTTAATCAACGTTTAAGTCTAAAAAATAATAGAGTTATTATAAGTTTTTTTTCTACATCTTTTAAAACATTAAATATGAGCATGTTAGGGCTAGCTTGTAAAATAATTAATATATTATCTCACTAAAACATTTATACTAATAAAAATTTAATTTTAGCATATAAATTTATCCCTTGATATAAGAGAAAGTAACAGTTTTACTTATTGTTGTTCACCATATAATATTTAATTATTATTTTATTATATAATAAAAAAGAAATATTGTTAAATAGTGTAGTAGAATTGTTATAAAATTATATGATTTTTTTTTTTAAAATATGGATTTAATATTTTTTTATGATTTGATAATATAAACAAATCTATACTTAACTTTGACAAATAAAACAAATAAATACTTTAGTAAGTATTTAATGTATATACTAAATAGGAATATATTTGGTATAATCAAATACCAAATATAATCAAATAAGTCAAAGTGTACATTTTTATTTGGTATTTGATTTATTTATTATTAAAATCTTTTTATTATACTTACCTTTTTAAAATAAAATAAATAAATAAATCAATTAAATAAATAAAATATTATAATACCAAAATAGTAATGACATTTAATGCAGTTGATTTTTCTGGATAGTAAATGTAGTAAATAGAATATTCTTTTATATAGTATAGTACGGAAATAGTAATGCAATAAATGCTGTTGATTTTTCTGGCTACTTAATTTGGTAAATAATACCCCTTTAATATAAGTACTAGTACGTAGCCCGTGCGATGCACGGGACATAAATATTAAATGAGTCATTTCCACAGAGTTTGTCTGTTAAGTAGCTCGTGTGATTCACGGAAGATATTAAATGAGTGGGACAATAGGGCTTGTCAGTTAAGGCCTAAAAAAGTAATAGAGTTTGATCATCTATTTTTTTACCTCTTTCATCAACGTCATCTTTTTTGTCGAGACATTAAACCTGAGTCTGGTAGTGGTAGCGCTAGACCGTAAATTAATTAATATATTATCTCGCTCACATGTTTATAATAATATAAATTTAATTTCATTATATGTATTTATTCCTTGATATAAGAAAAATAACAATTTTACGTAATCTTGTTCCTCGTATAATACTCATATTATTTTATTATAAAATTTATTGTAATAGCATGATGAACCAATATATTATTATAAATAATATTTTAACATATATATTTATTTTTAATACAAAATAATAATAATTTTACATATTTTGGTTCATCATAATACTCAATTATTAATCTATCAAAAAATCTATTATCATATAATGTCATTATTATTTATAACACTTGTAGAAGTAATATATTTGTTATATAATGATAAATATGTAATGTATATTAATATTATTTAGTGATGTAATTAATTTAAAAAGATATAAGCAAATTTAATGGTAGGTAGGAACGTGATTATATGTAAGTTGAGATAAAATGAAATGTATCAAAAAAATCTTCTTATGATATTTTCCTTTAAATGTTTGAATGAATTTGAAATTCAAATTACAAATCAACCTCCAGTTATTCAAATAATTTTAAAAAAGTTATCAATTGTAGTAAAATGTACGTGACAATATATTATAAATATACATGACTTCAGTAATGTTATGAATCTTTAAGTTCCTAAAATATATATTGTTTAGATATGAAACTAATTAACTTATATGTTTAAGATAATATATACAAATATATGTATTGTACGAAATATACACGTGACAAGTTCTTATATTTGTTTATATATTGTTTGTATATTTGCTTGTATTGTTTATTATATTTGTATATAAATATATTTTTCATATATTTGTCTGTATTGTACGATAAATTATTATATTTGTTTATATATTATTTAAATATATATTGTTTAGATATGAAACTAGTTAACCTATATGTTAAGATAATATATATAAATATATGTATTGTATGACATCTTTAACGTGTTTGTTAAATTTTTTCCCTAAAAAATTCAAAATACATTTAGGCATGTTTTGTTTGAAATTTGAAATTCAAATATGCATCTATATAACAAATCACATGATTTGTGCTAGCATTAAATGCTACTTGATTTTTTATTAAAAAAATTAAAAAAACATACCAAAAATGGAATGCAATTAATATTTCCTATTTTTTTGCTTACTATTTTTGAAAAATGTTAATTCTTATTATATATATATATGTAGATAATAGTTAATTATTAAACTCTGTTGTCATATAATGCCATTATTATTTATAAAATTATACAAGTTGCACATCTTCTTATTCCTTTTATTTTATGTAATGAAATATATTTAATGCACGTTGGTATTATTTATATAAATAATCAATTTAAAATATGTAAATAAATTTAAAATTAAATAGTGTATAAATAATGTACAAAATATACACATATATTTTTTTAGAATTTAATTTTGTATACTAATTAAACAACTTTGATTTAAGAAAAGCCATGAACTCAATCTCTTCTAATATCAATATTTTTCTAATTTTGCATTGTAATGATTATTCTTATTATATATATAGATTAGAATTTTTGCGACACCAACCAAACTAAATATCACAACAACCAAGTAACAATTATGAAAAAATCCATAACACAACAACTATCAATTAAATTTGGTAATAGAAAAATTACATACACACACACACACATATATATATATATATATATATAAATATGAGGATTCTATATTTCTATTAACTGATGTATACACCACGTGTATATTTTGTTAAGGTATATTGCAATGTTCAATTTCATAGCATGATAACAATCAGTCTTAAAAAAACAAAAATCTTATTAAAATGCCATATTTTACTGTTAAAAAAAAAAGTTCCCATAAAAAATAATTATATCATAGCAAATTCATTGTGTAATTGAACAAATTTCTATAATGAAGCCCGATTTTCTGTACAAAAATAAAGCAACAACTTCTACATTTTAAGGAAATCAATTAATGTTGGTCCGTTTTTGCTAAGAAAATAATAAATAAATAAATTATAATTAATAGAAAGTAATTAATGATGAGAGAATTTGACCATATCTGTTTTTAAAAATCGTAACAGAAAAACAAATATTAAATAAAACTATATAATATGGAAAAAGTAATGGCAATAAATGTTGTTGACTTTTCTAACTACTAAATTTGATAAATAAATAAATTGTAATTAATGGAAAGTAATTAATGATGAGAGAATTTGACCATATTTGTTTTTAAAAATCGTAACAGAAAAACAAATATTAAATAAAACCGTATAATATGGAAATAGTAATGACAATAA